CTGGTAGGTGGGGGACGCCCCTCACCCACCTGGCTTTGTGTCACATGAAAGTCTTGTGATTTAACCTGTGAAACTTTAGGATAAAAGGCTTACAGTTCATCCCATTACATGGCTTCTGCACTAGACAGAGTCCAGTCTCTTTCTCCTCCCCCCACGTCTCTCTCTTTCTTTCTCTTTATTTCTCCAGAATAATCGCCGATGCCACCACACCTCCCAGGGACCCTCCAAATCTCTTTGCAGGAGCTGGCCCCCCACAGGCACAGACCCAGATTCTCCACACAGCTGAAACCACCCTAAGGAACAGGGCACATGAAGTGGTAAAAGCACTAAGGTAGGGTGTGGAGAGCAGCAACATCAACAGCATTTTCAAACACAAACATTTGTCCTATCTTTACGTTCTGCTATTTTCAATAAAGAAGGGAAGGAAAGAATAAAGTTGAGAGGCGTGGTGTACCTTCTCTAGGTATAGCCAGGTGTCTTTGGTTCACACGTGGAACTGAAGGGCCAGAGTCATGAATCATTGTGCAATAGGTGAGCTTCTAGGGACGATGCTGGGCATTGTGATGGTAACTATTCAGCACATCCCTTGTCTCCTCTGTCTGCTCCAAAAGATGAGCAGCATCTCCTGATAACCAGGAACCAGACAAAGTAACTGAACTACTCTATCTGTTCCTCAGATCAGAGAAGCAATCCTTAACCACGGTGATTGGTGCTTCAGGATCATGGGCCAGAGGAGTGTATGGGAAGAGATAAATAACAACTCTTCCTGAAATTGATTTAGGTTGACACCTGGATCAGGTGCTTTATTAGAATTATCAAAACCATGTGACCAGGGGGTCAATATAGTCTTTGAATGCAAGAATGCAAGCTTCCTCATTACTGAACATGTCAGGGCAAGTACAGATATCCATTGGTAGTCACTTCTTTGGGACATGTAAGTGGAGAGGCACGAGCCTGATTCATTTCCCCATCCAGGAATGCTCCCCAGCCCACCCCTAAATAGAAGCATCACAACCTGAGCCAGCCTTAAAGGAGCCAGGCACTGAGAAGAGGCCCTCAGAGATCTGACAGCCTAGTAGAGCATGGACACAGCTTAGACCCACTGAGCAGGAGCCACTGCACAAGGAGTCACAGCACTAAGTGCAGAGGTGAAGCCAGCCTCAGGGCCTGGTAAGGAGAGAAGATAGAGGGAGAGGGAGGGATTCTGACCAAATGAGAGTACACTCAACTGAGTGACAAGAAAGGCAAAGGAGGGACTCTATCTAGGGGAGATGGGGACATGCATGGGAGAGAGAAGAGAGTGATCTTGCCAGAGGTGGCCCAAATGGAAATAATGAGAACATAAAGGAGATGAAAATGAGGATGTGATGGTGGTGAGACACAGGCAGAGTGACATGGGAACACCAAAGGGATGGGACTTGAGAAAGAGGTGATGGGACAAAGAGTAGGAAGCAATAGAAACAGAATGATGGGATATAAGGTGAGGGAGATGGAAACACAGGATTGGGGATGGGTTAAGTGGATGTGACACACAGAGGAAGAGGAAGAGATGAGACAGAGTGAGGAAAGAAGGAGACAACAGGGTGGGGAGAGAGGTGATTAGCCAGAATGAACCAGTATAGGATGACTCATTTCTCAACTGAACACGGAGATGGCACCACTCAGAGCAGGATTTTGCCCCAGGCTGCTGCTCCTGCTGCTGGGACTGTGGGTGGTGGTGTTCTCAGCCAGTGCCAAGCCCAAAAAGGTGACTGCTGCCCAGTGGTTTAAAATTCAGCACGTGCAGCCCAAACCTTGAGCATGCAACTCACCCATGGGTGACATCAATAAGCACACCAAACATTGCAAAAACTTCACCTTCCTGCATAAAAGCTTTACCGAGGTGGCCACCACCTGCAGGACTTCTAGCATAGCTTGCAAAAATGGCCAGAAAAACTGTCACAAAAGCCACCAGGCTGTGTCCCTGACCTTATGTAAACTTACCTCATGGAAGTACCTGAAATGTAAGTACAAGGAGAAGCACCTGAAGAAACATTATATACTGGCCTGTAAACCTCCTCAGAAAGGGGATTCTAAGAAATTTAAGCTGGTTCCTGTGCACTTGGACAAAATCCTTTAGGTTTCCAGGTTCTTCACTCTTTGGCCAAGTCTCAGTTTCCTCTCCAGCCCTCTGCACCTCTCCTCCTACCCCCAGAATACTCCCTTTCCCTCATGTCCTGGGACTCTTCCTCCTTAGTCATTTCCTGACTGGCTGAGGGAGAACCAAGACTGACACTTCACTGACCTGGGCTCTAGAGGAGATGACCTTTCATCTTTTTATTGCTGTTTTCCCAGAAGCTTATCCTCAAGACAGGGACTGAGCAAACACCTCAGGGGAGGGGGTTCCCTGGTCTGTGCATGTGTTAATCTCTCCCCCTCCACATGTCATCATTGCACATGACAAGGGAGGAAATAAATGGAATAGAGGCAATGGGATTTGTGTCTAGAGCTATTTCTGTTCCTAAACTGGAAATCTTCTCTGGCTCTGATGTGGTACTGAGGTGACCTGTGTACAGAGAGGTGGCCTGAAGGAAAAAAGAAGACAAAGAAACATCATTCATACATACATATCACTTTATGCACCGGAATCCCCTAATCCCTTGTGACATAGATTTGGCAGGAATTACTTGCCTTCTTGATGGATGAAGAAATTGAGACTTCAGAAAACTTCATGAATTAAAGAACTTGTCTAGCTGGCTAGTAGCAGAACTTGGGCTCAAACCTAGATATTCTTCCTCTAAATGCAGTGGATTTTCTACTATCCCAGTTGGACAAGAAAGGAGACACCATTGCATGGGTCAAGAGGAGACCTAGGTAAGAGTTTACCTATGAGTAAACCTGAAGAGCCAGTTATCCCGTGTTGGATGCAATAAAGGTTATCATCTCTCTAGCCAAGGGAATGTTTATGAGATGCTCCAGGATCTTGATTCATTCCTCTCTCTTCCTCTCTGACTGTCCCTCCCGCTTTTCTAGCCCACTGATCTTCAGACCTGCACCCTGGACCTGGCTCTGACTACATCCCCTTGGTCTGAAGGAATTAGGTAAAGGAAGTGTCCCGCTTCATCCTCCTGATCCCGGATCACACTTTCCTTGACCTTAGGGACGTCTATGGCCGAGCCTGCCTGTCTTAAATAGGCTGGTGGGAGGAGCCAGAGGTTCCTTCCTCCTGATAATGATCTCCTCTGCCTATGCTGCTTCCCTGGTTCTCTACTCTGGCAATGGGTCAAGGCCAGAGGGGTTGAGATGTTAAAATGCCTTCTCCCTATGTCCCTGGGCTACAGACACCATTTATCCCTCTCTGAGGAGTAGAGCTGCAGAAGGTATGGTTTTGTATTGCCCGAGTCCTGATGACCCTCCAGCCTTGCTTGCCCATCGCCATCCTCTTCTCTCTTCAGCTCAGTCCATACAAACTGCCCTGTGTTCCACATCCACCCTACTTCAGACACAAATACCTGATTATACCTTCCCTATCTTGCTGAGGATTCCGCTCTGTCTTTCCTTTTTCACCTACTCCAGGGCACCTTTACTGCTGACCAGAGTCAGAGCAAGCTTTGGAGCCAGACAGTCAGGTGGAAATCCTGACTCAGTCTTTCCTGACTGTGTGACATTGACCAATAGGCAGTTCTTTTTCCCTGTAGGAAAATGGGAGCAATCCTGCCCGCCAAACAGGATTGCAGGAAGATTTAGAAATGACATTCATGAAGCTCTAGTCAGCTCCAGGTACTGGTGTAACAAAACAATAACGAGTAATAGTGGTTGTGGTAGTAGTAGTAGCAATATCCACCTTTGGAAAACAGATTGACCAAAGCAAACATGCACTCAGGTACTAGTGAGAAGAGATGCAGGTAATACTAGAAGAGACCTTCTGCTACTTGAGTGATGTTGTTTGTGAGTGGGCTGGAAGCAAGCCTGCAGGCAGGGGAGCCAGGTTGTTTGAGATGATGAGGATAGAAGATAAGAAAAGGGTAATCGAAAGGAGAGAAGACCGTTGAACAATTCAAACAGAATGTGGGCCAATAAGATGGCGAATTGGCCATCACGGAAGAAAGCAGAGGAATATTTAAAAGCAGAGGAACATTTACATGAACATTCTGGCCAAATGCCAGAGTGTAAAAATAACTATTTCCTGGAAACAGACACTGCCATCATAGAATGGACTTCTGGAATACTTGAATAAATCTAAAGTTTTATCCAAAATCTAAATTTGTTTGAACTTCTGTGGTCTCTATATCATATATTCACAATTCTAAAGACATAATTTTCAGCTGAGATACATAGAAAATCAAGATACACAGAGACAGCTGATTGTTTTCTTCCTCGTATTCGTTGTTAACAACTCTTTATATTCTTTTTTGTTGCTGTTGTTTTAAGTTGGAGTCTCGCTCTGTCCCCTGGACTGAGTGCAGTCACATGCTCGTGGCCATAGCAGTCTCGACCTGCTGGGCTCAGGTTTCCTTCTGCCTCAGTCTTCCAAGTAGCTGGAACCACAGGCACCAGCCACCATGCCTTGCTAATGATTCTATTTATGTAGAGATGAGGTCTCTCCAAGTTGCTCATGCTGGTCTCGAATCCCTGGGCTCAGGCAATCTTCTCACCTCTGCCTCCCAAAGTGCTGGGATTATAGGCTTGAGCTATAATTACTTACATTCTTTTTTGATGACTTTTGTATTGCCCGAGTCCCTTTTTTTTTTCTTTTGCCCTCCCCGCACTCCCCCACCTCCGATGATTTTTCTTATGGACATTATGGTTGAAGAAACACTCTCCTCACAAAATTTGAAATAGTTAAAATATGCCTTTAACACATCCTCCCAAAGAAGAATTTCCAAATAGGGATTTTTCTTCAAAGACTGGTCGCCTAAATAGGATTAAATAACAAAAAAGTGCTAAAGTAATCTGTGGTCATAGAGTCAGAATAGTTATAGCCTTAGGGAGACACTATTTGTGAAGGGTCATGAAGAGCCAATCCAAGCATCTGGAAATGTTCTTTCAGCCTGGATATATTTACTATGTGAAAA